GGTTGGAGGCCATCGCTATTATAGGATGCAGGCCATTCCTTCTAGGTAGTAGGTTGAAAGACACCCAGATTGCTGAGTCTGTCACTGCCACCGAGACTTGCAGGCTGTCGACTCCCCGCTGGCTCGATCGAAATCGGCTGCTTGGCAGATGGCCGCCAGACGGATCCGCGTGAGATGACGTGACCCCAACACACAAATGCATTCCCTTCAATGAATTCTGATAAGTTTTGGGAACTGTTGATTTGGCCGCTTTGGTATCAAGTTGTTGGGCTGGTATCAGTGGATTGTGTGTTCCACGGCTCCGCAACATCTAATGAATCTAATGTTCATTTTGGTGTGCTTCTAGATTTTGCCATGTTGGCCCCGGTGGAGTTGGTGACACCGCTGGCCGTTGGCCCCGTGGGTCAACAGGAAGCCACGCTGCGGCAGAAGTCTCCGAAGCGCAGCAAAGCGGCGCTGAAGCGGCATCAGTGGCTCCGACGCGTTGAGCGGGGCCCTCCACATCATCCAGTGTTTTGCGGGCCGATTTGAAGGTGCTTTTGGTAAGGCGCGCCAGGCTGGTTAAGTATGTGTCAACATGTTACTTGGGGAGTCTTTTGCCAAGGTGTGTTGGAATACTCATCAAAGGTCTGAACAGCAAAGGGCTGGTCACGTCAGTTTGCAACCTCTCTCGGTGCGTTTTTTCGTGCGACCCCTTCGGGGAACGACGAAATGAACGACAGCTCCAGCTGTGTTGTAGTATGTGGTAGTCTTTGTTGTATATGATACATGCATATTGATCTCTCTTGAAATCACCCTTTCTTCGTTTCCTTGGTTCTTCCCATACGGGTGTCCTAATGATACAATATACAGACTTGAGAGAGCTATATTCTAAAGATTTCAAAAAAAGACCTGCAAAACTCTCGGACCTTGAGTTATGTGCAACCACTCAACTCCAGGTTCAGAGTCGGCTCGTCAGCTCGTGTGCGTGTTTTTCCAAGTTCGGGAGATCAGACCAGATTCGGATTCAGTCGTTTGCCCTGGCCATGTTTGGGCCATGTCTTCTTCCGCAGCCTTGCTTTGACCAGCCCAAGTGGACCAGTCCAAGAGCCTCACTTTGGGCGGAGCCGCGCCTGTCTGTACGCCGAGCCTCCATATTGATCTGATGGTCACGATCAAAGCAGCACGGTGTCCTGAGCCCTGGCATTTCCTGGGCAGTTTTCAGAACCGCCCAGGCCTTGAGTCAACTCAGTAGACAGGTTCTTTACTCCGGGCATCATGTTCAGTGCTGCCTATAGTAGACTTTGGTTCGACATTTTCTGAGTTCTATTGAAGCTGTTTTGCTTTGACTCATTTGGCTTGGCAGTCGAAGGCATTGCGGCTAACGATTTTCAGGTTGATTTTGTGTTGCCACATAAGCTTTGCATCATTGTAGTGACCACAGACTGATTCCTGAAGCATGAGCACAAGAAACACGCACACTTGGCCCCCAAAGACTGCTTATTGTGCAGGACGGAAAACTTCACAAACGAACAAAAGTCACACACAATACAGCACTATTGAAGACCACAACTGTGTTTTTGGTGTCAAGTTCAGCTTTTAGGTCCGACGGAAAATCACAAGCCCAATAAGAAACATTAGGCTCTGGATGGTCCAGGTATTCAGTTGTTCCCAAATACATCCAACCATGAACACCAAGCAAAAAGGAACATCGGAGCATCATTTGTCCACAACGCATCCTTTCAGAAAAGTTGTCCTGTCTAATAATGTTTGGGTTGCTCGAAAAAGAAGGATGCACATTTCAGAAAAAGCAGGGTATCAGGCCAGCTCAGGATTCACCATGAGCATCCAGGAACCTTTTGAGCCATTCACTTCTCTTAGGAGCTGGACGAACTTGCTGCGCATGGCCTCTCTGCTGGCAGCTGCTGTGGTCTCGCAGTGCTCAAGGTCGGCACCAGTCGCATGGAGCTGCGGGTCGGCCTCGCGGGGCGACGGCAGATGGAAGTGACAGTGAGTGACTGGTCATGAAGAACTGCCAAGGTGTGGATAGTGGACCTGCATGGACCTGCCCAACTTTTTGACCCAAGTTCAAAGGTAATGTCGACTGACGGTCGCTGTCGGATTAATCAAAGGGCCCCCTGTTCAAGGTAATCAAAGGGCAGCCTTCAAGGTCAACAAGGTTTGAGATTGGAGGTACTGTATTGGAGATCACCATCCCCCTAATGAAGGTGATGACCTGATGATGTATGATGGATGAGCAAGTGTCCAATCAGTGGTTTGATTGGGAAGATTCGGATGAGAAGGACACTGACTGGCAAAACCATGGCAGTCCATTTCATGAGACTATTGGGAATCCATTTGGTGACAATTTCTTGGATTGGGATGATTTGGAAAAGCAAGAGGATTGAATGAAGAAGCTACTAGGGGCTCCTGGCCTTACTACTAGTAGCAAGGACACTACTAGGGGCCCCTGGAATCGCTACTAGGAGCAAGGACGCTACTAGGAGCAAACAAACAAACAAACAGACAGAGAGAAAGAGATGGAATGCAAGATGGAGGCCAGAGGGCCTCGGGTGGGCTCGATCAATACGGGGAGGATGGGGAGGGCACCGTACTATTACAGTAGGGGGGGGCCTACATGTGAGGGGTACCCTTTGTGGGCTTGAAAACCTTACTGTAAGATTTTGATAGAGTTTTGTGATCAGGGAAAATGAAAGAATGTTGCTAGAGAGTTGTTGGTGGCTTAAGAGGGAAGGATGAGAACAAAACGCATGATGAGAAGCAGAAGGATGATAATCCTGGATGAGAGGACCAGTTTCACTATAGTTAGAAAGTAAGTGATGACTATATAACTGTAATGAACTATAACTATGTTCTATTTTCCTGGGAGATTGGTTTGACTGATAGGGAAGGTTTGTGCCAAAAAAAAAGGAGGCTGTCAATGTTTAAATTTAAGTGTTAAATTAGTTTATTGGTGGGGGCTCAAGCTGAGCTTGATTCATCAGGGGAGGTTCACTGATCCTATGTTTACATTAAATACTAGATGCAAACATTCTGTCTAAAGGATGGGTGGATGATGACAGATTGGATGGACAGATTCTCCGCACATTGCGGGAGATTGGGAGATTGCATTGGCCCGAATGAAGATATATATTATATATATATACCAAGGCACCAGCTTCTGTGCAGAACTCCTGTCGAACAGAAACGCAAGTGTGGGAGACCTTATTTCCAATATAGGCTTGCCTAGATGGTCTAAACCTTCAGTAGCAAAGCTTCAGTAAACTTACTGGGCAACCAGGTCCAGGGTTTCACCGACATAAGGCGAAGCAGAGAAGGCCATGGCATTGGAAGTGGTGGACCTAGTGCTACAAGGCGGCTTTTATCGAACACATTCTTTTAATGTAGCAGAGATACACAAGGACCATCCGTTCGGGGTGTCCAATGGACTATGTGTCACATTATTTTTTATAGGGATGTCCATTGGATACCCCTGGATGGTCCAGATACCTGCAAGCAATATGAATCACATTCCCTCCAGTGGGTTAATCTAACTTCATTTTTGGGTGTCCAAGTTTCAGGACGTTTGTTTTTGAAAGCATCCGAATACAAACGAAGCATTGACAATCTATGGAATCCATTTGGAACTTCGGGATTTCAGGATGTTTCGTGGATAATGAAATTTCATGGATGAGAGGACGAGAAGACGACTTCCTGGCGCTCCTGTCGCCGCGTGCGTTGGCCGCGATCCCCGCCGCCGAGTGGCGTTCCTGCGCCCGGTTCGGGCGGGGTAGCAAGGCGGAAGAGCCACAGGTCATCGGCAAGATGGGCGTTTGGGTCATCGTCACGGCGCGCACGAAAGTGAAGCTTTGGATGTCTCAGAAGATCAAGCTGTTGGTCTTCAAGGTGGGCAATTGAATAGAATGCATGGAAAATCAGCGTGAGACATTGTGTGCTTGTCATTTGTGTTTTCTGGAGTTTTTTTTTTATTGTTTTCTATCATGTTTTTGTTGAAAAAAGCGTTTTGTAATGTTTTGGTATTGTTTATATTTGTTTGCTCCTCTCTCTCTCTCTCTTCTTGGAAATGTTTTGAACCTGAAAAAAAAATCAATTGGAATTTGGAACAAAATCCAGGACATGCAGGTACACTACCAGTGGTTCTTGCGACGTGTTGGGCCCATTTCACTTGACAATGGTGTTGTTTAGCTAGATGCTGGACAACTAGAAGACTGGAAGTGGGGCAACTCGGAAACCACTCACAGTTCCCATGTTCACCTCCATCTCCGAATTGGGATCACTTGCAAGTCTTGGCGGAACACACACGCTTTTAACTTTTAACGCTTTTTACACCCACCCGTCACCAGGTCTCCGTAGACCCTGGCACGCGGCAAATGGAGGGCTTTACCATCCTTGATCAGATCCCGGAGGTCCAAGCTGTGCCCAGTGAGGTCCAGTTGGCTGATGCTTGGCACTTTGGCTCCTGCACCAAGGCGGTGACGGCCACCTTAGCACCTTGGTTAGCCATAGCAAGCAGGGAGGAGGGCGAAGGTATAGGGGACGGCACCACAACTCCCTAGAATAACATATAAATCCGGAATCCCTAGGTATTGTGCCCTCTTCTCAGCATGTTGCTCGGCTCATCCAGGTGTTCTTCTCACTGTGGACACGTCCTTGGGCACCTCATGCTCGGCTCACCCGGCCTCAGGCAGCAGTGCTTTTGGAGCAAGAACCGCGGCTCTCTTGGGATCTCACTGTGGCCGATGCTTTGGCAATGGCCGCCACGGCCTCTCCATCGGGCCACGCGCTGGCGGCCGTCGCGGCGCAGAGCGCCTTCCGGGACGTGACGCTGGAGCAGTTGCTGACGAATCGTGGAGGTTTGTGGCAGGCCAGGGCCGGGGTGTTTGAGTGCGTTTGAGTGCGCCGTGTCACGAGAATGACATGTCACGGAACAGCGGGAATTTCGAGCGTTTGGAGAGGCAAGCAGGGGATCTGAAGCTGAAGTTTCGTTGAGTTCTGGTATGTCCTCGAAAAAAGTAGGTCTTGGAGTCAGAAAAGTAAGCCTTGTGTTTCCAGACGGCCGAGTACATCTCCAGGAGCAGGATCCTCAGACCTGGAGCTACGCTTGGGACCTGGATCGCGAAGCACACTCTACCCAGGAGCAGCGCAGGAGGTACTACACACGGGTGCTGGCTTTACAAGCGCATGAGGTGGGCAAGTATGAGCAACTGGGATGTTAAACCAGGAGTTCATAGGAGTTCTCATAGGTGGTCGATAAAATTCAAGTGAAAAGAAATAGACTATACTCGCGCAAGTGCCACTATGATGTGCCTGATGCCCTGGAACTTTAGAAGCTGCAGGAGGGATGCGCCCTGTAGCGGTGGAACTGTCCTGCACGGTATCAGCTGTCAACCGGGGGGCCGTTCTTAAGGAAGCGATTTCGTCGTGGCGAAGCGAGGCGGTGCCGAACCATTCACCCGTGAAAACGCTTCCAACATGTTGTGAGCAACTGTTTCAAGAAAGCTCCGGTACGTATGCAATATTATTCAATTCATTATGCAATACTGCAATACTTGTACCTACAGCCTACATGCACCGGGTCCGCACATGCCTACATTGCTGAGGTACTCCAATGATGGCTTCGGTTTGGCAGGATTGATGCTGGAGACTGTCCTGCAAGAATCGTGGGAGGAGCTGGTCCGGAAGCACATCTTCGAGCCCTTGGGGATGACTAACAGTGGAGCCTTGGCCGCCTGAGAGGCCCTGAAAAAGCACGTTTCCCAGAACTGGGATGATGCCGACAGCTCATCCATTTTTGATGGCTTAACATTCACATTGACACTTTTCATCACTTCTGCCAACCAATGAGGCTTCTACGCCATGGGTGCCTCAGCCCCGCGCGGGGCACAGCGCAACTTCATTTGGGGCACGAGGCCCGGCGGGCCGGGAGAGCCCGGCACGCCGATGGACCCTACCGAAGGTCCAGGTGCAGACAACCCGGCAGCCATTGGCCCAGCGGGGGTCATCCATGGAAGTTTGGAGGAGATGGGCAGGTGGATCGGTCACAGTTGGCTGGGGGAACTGCATGGAAGGTCATGTGAGCCGTGGTTTGTGATTGAATGAAAGAACGATTATTATATAGACTGACGGTGACTCACCAAATGTGTGCGAAGGCATTTATGCGATACCTTACGTGTGGCGAAGGCTCGCGAAGCCTGGAAGCCTCTGAAAGGTTGCAAAAGTGTTGCGCGAAGCTTTCGCTGTGTAGATAGATATATATATATATATATTACCGTACATTATAATATAGAATATATATATATATATAGACACTTTACCTTTTAAAACACGGCTCACATGGTTGGCCCAATGGTTGGCTGGATTATGCCGGATTTGTTTCAATAATGAAGTTCATTGTCGCTTGCTCCATGGTGATATTGCCAAGACAGCTCTCAAGAGCAGGCACTTTAAGTGGGAGCACTTCCCCACTTTCTCCAACTGCTCCGCGGAGAGAGACTTGAACGGGCCTTTGCGCACTCATTGTTGATTCGCCTGTCTATGCAGAAACGAAGTGCCCACTGGGCATGCCCTACAAGAGCAACTCCTCCCTCCATCCAACCTTCCTGTAATTGAGCATAATGGCTCTCATACAAGGACAGCTACTGTACAAGGAAGTTCCAATTCTACCCATTCGCCCGATAGCCCGAATGCAGGATGTGGCCCGATTTTTGGCTGTCCACTTGGACCACCGATGCTTGGAGATGCACCTTCAATGACTATATATAATAGGAACTAAGTTCATTCCGTTATTTTCTCAAACTCAGTGCTTGAATGGTCTTGAACGCATGTACATACACTTATGTGATCTTATGTGTACATATATTATCATATTTATATACATAGTTTCACACACACACATATATATATATATACATGTGTATTATTTGTTTGTTTGCTTGCATGATCAGGTAGACACATCATGTCCTCTCAAGACCCCGCATAGTATGTTATAGTTACATTTGGAATCAATCTTCTTCAGCGGAGTGGAGAAACGATGTGCTAGCATATCTCAGAAAATGAGCATCCCTATAGAAACACTGCTGGAGGCGCTGGAAGACCAGCGGTAAGCTTTGATTCTTGTTGGTTAACTATTGCTCCCATTTTCTAGATCAAGACAGACAGATTCTGCGGCAAAGACTTCAAAGCGCACAAACAGTTTGTCAGCCACATTGAGAGAATCATTGGAAGGTAAGACGAGAATCTCCCCCGCCTCAAAAAATCCTTTCTGGGGGGGCGTTCAAGGGGCACCGAACCCAAGGATATGCTCAGGAGAAGCTTGGATTGTCACAAGCCACCTTGGCAAAGCTTCACGGTGCTCCAGATGACTATCCTTATGCCTATGGATGGCTCATTGGCGGTTCAGGCATTCTGACACATGACGGATCTAATACAATGAACTACATGCATCCTTGATCCAAAGAAAGTATCGCTTTCCGAATGTGTTGTTGATGGTTGATTGCGTTGAGAATTGCTTGTTTCTGATGACTTTCTGTACCAACTACACGTGATCACGTATACATATACAGTATACATATTATATTATATATATATTTGGATAGAGTAGAGTAGGTAGATACAGTAGATAGATAGGTAGATTCAGTGGCCCGCCACAGCTGTCCAACATTTATTTATTTACTTTTTTTATCCATCAGCCGTCTCCAAGCGCAGCATGGTTCGCTTTGGTGGAGACCAGCTGACTGAGGTCAGTGCGGTCGGTGCTATGGAATTTAGTGCTCGGGCCAGGTGTCTCCATGTGGTGAAATCCCCCGGAGCAGCTTAGCTGAGGCATCTCAAAATGTGGAAAGAAGACGGAATCGCCGTGATTTCGACCCTCAATGCGGGCCTGGCAGCTTCTGAGATGGCACAGGAGCTCGGAGAGAAGGCCAAAGCAACTCAGCAGGAGCCATTTGCTACAGATGATGCCATTGATCGCCCTGAGAATTGGTGCTGCTGATAGCAGCGAGCAATGCATCCAACGCGTTTTTGAAGTCTTGAAGATAGATTTAGATAGCATTGCTTCTCACGTAGGGTTTGATCACCCAAGTGGCCAGCCAAAGCATTCAGTTTGTTGTTCTTCATGCAGAGAGGATATAGACTTGAAGAGAAACGTTTGATGGTTAGCCCTTTGGACAGAAGGCGGTGCTGGCAGTGGGTCAGCGTCTTGAGTGTCCCTTAGCATTGCTTTGATTTGGCTATTCCAATGAAACACGGTATGTCTTGAAGTCTTGAATGGGGTCGCGGGTCCTCCCAAATTCTGATACAGGGCTTGCAAGTTGAATGTTAATGCCTAAAATCGCTTGAATTCATCAGTTTTGGAGCGAAGGCAGCGAAGGCAGCGAAGGCGCAAAGGAAGCGGCTCTTCCTCAGGAAGATCCGCACAGATCCTTGTGCCTTGCGAATGCCTCGTGCTCATACTTGTTGCATCGTTTTGCTGTGCAGCATACTGTGTTCCCTGAATGGATCGAAAGGTGACGGGCAACGTTTGGGGGAAACCGGCACAGATCTGCTTGGGGACTCTTAACAGAACAAGTCTGGAGAAGCTCGAGAAGCCACAACTGTGGCTTTGCTCTGACAGTTGCTTCTTGAAAATGGCCGAGACACGTTGTTCCCGCGCCGCGTGGACCACGCTTTCCTTCCAACGTCTCCTGTCGTGTTGTCAGCCGGAACGTCCTGGCAGGTACTGACTTGAGGCTGAAAAACAGTTCAGGAAGGGGTTTCAGTCTTGTCCAGACAATGATGGGCCGTTCAGTATCCCAAGTTGGAACTGGAAGCATATTTAATTATATTTAATTTATGTAGAAGTAAAACCGATTGATTCCGTACACAGAGCATGTAGACTAGATGCAATGATTGCTTGATTACGGCGAAGGGCATCAATCAAGGCAGACAATTTCACACCTATCTATGTCGATCATTTGGAGGGATCCAGGATCTGCGAGACTGGATTCTTTGGCCTTGCTGCTGGGGTTTGCACCTGCATGTGCATGTTGGGGCATCAGCTATCGGAGAAATCCTATCTCCAGACTACTACAACGCTGTGATGAACAGAACCTGAAACCACTACCGCCACAAGAGCCACAGGCCCTAACTCAGATCGAGTCCTGTCCCTGTTCTTGAGGTCTGCTAGCAGCCTGGCCAAGCTTCCTCCCATTAGCAAGGCATGAGCGGCGACGGCGACTGGCGGGAAATCCGGCGTTTCGGCCATGGCAAATCAACAAAAGCAACTCATATGATCGAACAAATTATAAACAGTCTGCTTCATGTACAAAAATGAATGTTCCAAAATTGCTGGCTGTGAGCTGAACTTCTTGAGGAAACCTCTTCCAGGTTTCATTCATGATGGGTGGACCTCCGCTGGGGTTTGGAAGTTGCATGAGCCTGCCAGCACACCCGAAGGAAAGTAAAAAGCTGTAAAAAGTAAATATTCCAACTGGCCCATCCAGTGGCACAGAGCCAACGAAAGTTGTGGTAAGCGGGTCTGGCAGCGATGTTTTGTCTGTAAAGGTTAAGATGGAATTGTCCACAAAGGACCCTCGTGGTCCTTTTTGCCTTTGGGATCCAGATGCAGCTGATAGCTCGGCAGCTTGGCCTGGCCAAACCGGGGTGGGTTTTCAGACATGACTTGGCGACCACATGAGCCAGAATATGCACAAAGGAGTCGTGGCCGATTATGGCCCATATCATGAGAGAGCAAGCGCGAGAGCACGCTACACTGGATCCCCAGAGAGCCAGAAGGGCTTCTTGCAAGCCCGAAGGGCTGCGCATGAGGCTTCCTGCCCGCCCGGGCGCTTCCCGGGTGAGGGGAGAGCGAGCGATATTTGCGCTGACCCTCCGAAAAAAAGTGCTGTGCCACAGGTGGGGTTCAGCCTTATTAAGCCCAATCCACCACAGTCACCGATGTTCTGTCAAGAGGTGGTGATAGTTCTAACTTCTGACTTCTGACATGATTTGACACACGAGATGAAACTGCTGAGCAGTTTGACCTACCACGTTTCGCGAAGGACTGTTTCAATAATCACTAACCCAGTGCTAGGAGTTTTGACCCCCTTGCATTTCCAGGGAAGATGCTTCACAACAGATATCAGGGAGGAATCAATGCTAGATGATGCTAAATGAAGATGGCGTTGGCTTCCCCTATCTAGGAGTGTGCTGGCATGATGTGCTTGCAGATACTTTACAGTGTATGCACTGTGATGCGCACACTTGGAGCAGAGCATTTGCAACTGTTGCACCGTTGCACCTGACACGCCTCACCTTTGGATGAACAATCGCCGCCTAAGGATGCTGCACTGATGCAGCATGGCATCACCAGCCACAATGCGGCCTGGGACTCTGGAGAAGTTCTTTCGACCAATTGGCAATTTGACATCACTGAAGGGCGATCTGTACATTGCGTAAATGGCAACGTTTGATTGCTATGAGTTTTTCCCAACTATAAAATTCCGAAAGTATCATCAACATTTATTACATTTGATGTGCGGGAAGTTTGGCACATGGCACATGTGTGACTCATGCGTGAAGGGGCGATGCTTGAGCCCTGGGAAAAGCAGAAGTTGTTCAACGCGGTAGAAACGACTCAGTCGTGGCAGTGTATTCAGTGTATTGTCACAGATTCGTTCTACAGCGTCTACGGTTTTGCATCCTCAGATGTAGGCCGTCGCTGTATCAGCACGATCTTTGCTTTGACTAGCATGTTGGACAAAATTTTGGCGATTTGGTGGGTATCCACATCCAAAAGCCATGAATCCCTCTCGCTCACATGTAGAACAAAGTGAAACAGAACTCCTGGGTTTTGGGGTTGATGTTCTGGTTCGGGGACTGACTGGGATGACCCCGGGTCATAGGTAGGGAAGTGACACCTTGCTGGAACATGCATTGGAAATCGCAGACCTGCTCCAATGCGCAAAGAACCGTTTGAGAAAAAGCACTGAACCGGGCTTTTTTGATCTACATCACCACGGCCTGTGGCGTGGCCCTGTGCCGCCGTGAGGTCCTTCTCAGGGACGCGCTCTCCAAAGAGTTCCAGGGGCCCAGTCTGGACAGCTCAGCGAACAGGTCTAAAG